ACCTCTTTCCGGAAATTCCTAATCCAGACTTGTATTTACTTGGACTTCCCACGGCAGATACTTCCAAATATTCATAGGTAAACATACCTACTAGGACTTGAACCTGAAACCCGCTCGTGGAGGGTTGGGTGCCTAGACAACTAGGCCACGAGATCCCAACCCCATAAATAATACTATAGTTCCAACAGTAATAAGTACATTAAATTTAGAAATGTTTCCAGTTTCTGAAGCTATCGTGTATGATATGATTCATCGTTGTCATAAGCATAAGAGTGAGAAGCATTTGTTTAAACAGCAACCTATTGTGCACCAAAATAAACGTGCTAAACAAAAACATCGAAATAACAGAAAAAATGAAGTAAATTTATTTTGTAATTGTTTTTTTTCTAATTATTTACTAATTTTATAACATTTATAATCTATAGAAGTGAACAAATAGATTGAAAACAATTGAATATCTACGTGCAATCAATGATCCACTGGTTAGATTATTTAGAAATCGAGAGCTTAGGCCAATTAAAAACAGCAGTAGATACCATTCACCAGAAGTTTCAGAAATAGATAAAGAGAATCCTTCCGGTAAAAGAAAGGTCGGTACCAAGGATTTGAGATGGCGATCAACTACTGTAAGTTTAATAATGATTACCCTTTTTAATGTTCCCATATTAATTTCTTTTTATATAGTTACGGTCATTTCTACGTGATTACGTCAATCACATATTTGCTGAATCGTCTAAGATTCCAAAAATACGATCTCATGTTCAGAATACTGTTAGTTATTATGAAAAGGAACTATCGAAGCCATTTTTGGTGCCGAATTGGTCAGTTAGTGGCTATGAAGGGTCCCTGAAAATGGCTGTGCAAAATGCCTGTGATGAATGATCATCTAATATGCTTTCTCAAAGGGTATCAAAATACAAAAATAGAATGTATAGAAGATGATTATTCTTAGATTATGAAATACTAGTTAGTTGTTTATTATTTGCTATGTATGAATCGCATTTGCAAGAAAATATATAGAATTTTACTCTATATTACTTCTGCATATAAACTGATATTTTGCTTAACCAGTATATTGTTAATATAAAACTGCTTAAAATATAAAAGCTAGTCAATCTATTTTTTTCTTAAACTATAATTTCTACTCAAAAATTTATCTTCTAGAGTTATAAAGTCTTTGTATGTTTGGCAAATGCTATAAGGATAAAAACAACTTAAAATAGTTTATTTTGTGCACTGTAGATATGAAATAGGCAAAAAAAATCTAGTTACTTTGATGGCTGTTATTCCTTTAGGAATAAAATTTTATATATAATTTAGGCCATATAAATTAATAAGTTGGTTTTCATAAACTGGCCAGGTTAAATTCTACTATTAACTTCATATGGCCTTACATTATACTATATAGTATAAAATTATTAATTGCAAAATCGATATTCATCTATTCATTTATACATAATTCCTTTATTATAAAATGAGCAAATATACCTCATGATAGATCAACTAAATAGTCAGACTATTAAGTAATTTTACTATAATCAAAATTTTTGTTAGTAAATTAAGCTATTCAA